TTTTTTTTTTTTTTTTTTTTTTTTTTTGGTGTTAGACTTTGTGAGTTCTTTATTCTAGACACTAATCCTCATTTGAAAGGTAGCTGGCAAAGGTTTTCTCTCATTTTGTGGGCTGTCTCTTTGCTCTGTTGGTTGTTTAATTTGATCCAGTCCCATATGTTGATTCTTGCTATTATTTCCTGTGCTGTTGGAGTTCTGTTCAGGAATTCTTTGCCTGTGCCTTTGGCTTCATGTTACTCCCATGTTTTTTTTTTTTTTTTTCCAGCGATTTTGAAGTTTCTGGTCTTATACCTGGGTCTCTGATCCATTTTCAGTTGATTTTTGTACGAGGTGAAAGACATGGCTCTAGCTTTAACCTTCTACAAATGGATATCAGGTTTTCTAGCACCATTTATTTAAACATCTGTTTTATCTCCTACATATATTCTTTACTCCTTTTTCAAGAATCAGATAGCTGTCATTGTGTGGGTTCACGTCTATGTCCTTTACTCTATTCCATTGGTCTATGTGTCTATTTTTATCCCAGCACCATGCTGTTTGTGTTACTATGGCATTGTCACATAATTTGAAATCAATTATTGTGATGCCTCTAGCTTTGCTCCTTTTGCTTAGAATTGCTTTGACTATTCTGGGTTGTTTGTGTTTCCATATGAATTTTAGAACTGTTTTTCTTGTTCTGTGAGCATTCAAATTTTTATGGGGATCACACTGACTCTGTCGACCACCTTTGGCGATACTGTTATTGGATGGGGGAGGGACCAGCAGATCTTTCTAGGTTCTTATTTGTCCCAATCAATGAATTGGTCAAGACAATTGGCAGATGTGAAAGATCATGTATTTCAGGGCAAAAATTAAAAAAAAAAAAGAAAAGAAAAAGGAGAAACCCAGAAGAAGTGATCAGGGAGAAAAGGGTGCTTTGAAGGGAAAAGAGAAGATGCAGTCTACAAGCAGAATGAACCACCGTGAAAGAAGAGGGCACTGGAAGCAAAATCAGTCTGTGCCATCCTTTGGTCTTTGATAATTGATCCAGGTGGTCCCACTTGATCTTGTCCTAGAAAGATTGATATCAGGTGCCAGGTTCAGCAAGTTCTCGCATCAGAAGATTGGGACCGTGTGCAGGACTTGGCTTGACCCCACGTCAGGCTTGAGGCTGCTATTCTCTACCTGTGGTTAGTAAATCTTCTTAGTTGGTAGCTGTGGCCAAGCGCTCCAGCCATGTTGTCCTGCCCTGGCCTCCTACGATATGTATGGCCATATTAAGAATATTAATTCTGCAGATCCAGGAACATGGAAGGTCTTTCCATCATCTAGTATCTCCTTTAATTTCTCTCTTCAATGTTTTATTTTATTTTTTATTTTAAAGAGTAAAAAACATATCAAAATAACACCAACATAGACAAAAACAAAACAAAGCACAAACAATAAAAATGACATAGGATTTCAAAACGAAATGATAGGAATTAACAGTGGTTGTTATATTACATATTGTTGTCTTCAACCAAGTTGCTCAGATTACCAGATGTAAGAATGCAAGATGGATCAAACCATTGAAGAGACTAAAAAATAATTTTAAAACATTAGAAATGGTACAGAGCTTCTTCACTAGACAGGATGGTAGGAATTCATCAATGGTTGCTACATTGCATATTGTTGTCTTCAAATTAGTTGTTCAGGTTATCAGACATAAACATGCAAAATTGATCAAAAAAATTTAAGCATTAACTGCTTCTCTTCAACGTTTTGTCATCCTTGTTATACAGGTCTTTCGCCTCCTTGGTTAGGTTGATTCCTAGATATTTCATCTGTTTTTCAAGCTACTGTGAATGGGATTGTTTTCCCAATTTCTTGCTCAGCTATTCCATTACTGGTGCCTAGAAAAACTATTATTTTAATGTTGATTTTTTATCTCACATAAAAAGAAATTTTTAGTTAAAACTCAATGCCTCCCCTGAATAGGAAGAAGTACATATAATTTTTAAACTGTAACTAAATTCTATGAGTGCTAAGATATTGAGTGACATAAAGTCCATTTGTAGAATCAAAGGAAGATACGTTAGAGGTACACTTGTTAGGCAGTTCAGAGAACTTCTCTTCCATATGTCCCTAGAAACTCTCCAAACATCACATGGCCTGGACTGAATCACACACCCACCCACCCACACACACACACACCTTTAACCGAACACTCAACCCTGCCCCGGAGGAGGTCGTTCCTTTGAAACCACACAGCTAACACTGGGCTGGAGGTGGTTCCTCATGGAAGATCTGAATGCCATCGGGGGACATCAAAGAAAATCAAAGCTAGGTGGTTTTCAAAAGATATTTACCCAGAGCCCTCCCCACCAATTCTGAGTGGCAGCAACATGAATGTGATACACAAGGAAATACAATGGGTAAGGAAATACCACATATACTGCAGTGAAGGATGTCTGAGAACACTACGTACTTATTTTACAAGTTTTATAAGGATAGAGTTATTTCAAGTAAGAAAGTCAACATTTCACTTTTTATTCTGGGTGAGATCTGATGAACACAACTTCAATAGGAGAAAAGAAACAATGCTTTTAGAATGTAATAAACAATAGGTTTGTAATATTAAGATTTGCAAATTTCAAGTGACAACAAATTAGTTTGAGTCTGAAATCCATCTGTGTTATAAACTC